CACACACACACACACACGCACACACACACACACACACACACAAACACACACACACACAAACACACACCTACCACACTGTATGATGGATCTGAAACGCAGGTCACACGCAGGACCAATGCCGTGCACCATGAAGACCAGGTGGTCCACTTTTTCTGGTTCACCTGTGAACACAGATATGCACTGAGCAAATACAGTTGACTGTATACTACTGTAATAGTTCACTGTATGAGAAAGAATGAGAGAAAGAACACATACCATCTGGTATTTCTACAAAAATGTTATCAATGCCTCTCTTGACTGTCCGAGGTCGAGTCTGCTCCGAGGGTGAGGTCATCCACTCATCCTGCAATCCAACTGGCTGATACTGCATAATCAGCTGCGCAGGAAGATGTAGGGGCAGAAAAGCATGTTAATTTTTTTTTAAATATTTTTTTATTTTTAATGTAGTAAACTGTGATGCTGTGTTGCTGTGTCTATAATTATAATATAAAATGTCAAATAAATAAAATCATGCCTTACTTTGGGATTGTGTAAAATAACAGTCTCTCCAGTAGGAAAGTCCAGTTTTCTCTTCCATTCGTCCAAAGTCACTGCTATCATGTAAGCCTCCTTTAAAAGGGGAGAAGGAAGGATGTGAGAAGACCAGGCTGACTTAGAAGTGTTAGTGAGTACTGGCAGAAATGGAGGAGGAATCCGGTCATTTTCCAACACAAAGCACTGTTGGCGTGGCCACAGAATTTTTTCAAGAGGAAAACAGCAAATTTGATCTAATCTATACTCTAGGTTTAAAAAAAGAATCACTTTTGTCCTTAAAACATGTTTAAAATATCATTATGAGTGCAATGCAAAATGGAATTATGCCATTAGACAGCAGTTTGAGGAACTGGCTCAGTTTCTTCAAAATAAAATAAAAGTTAAAAATGGCTAAACTTCAAAATACAAGATCCCACTTCAATACCTCTAAACGATTGCTGAAGTCTTCAGGGTAAGGCATGAACTTTGTGTCCTTATCTCCTTTATAGAACCAGGTACAACGGCGAACTTCAGTGGGAGCCTGCTGCCAATACACAGCGTATCGCTTCCTTTCTTTGACATGGACATCATACCGCTCTCCATCTACAGCAACCACCCTTTTCTCCACCCCTGCTGTAAGGTAAACATGCACAATACATATGGATCTTTATCACTTTAAATTGTTTGTATCTGCAGCCAACAGGTGCGGACTAGGACTGAGTAAATGATGAGGTTGCTCTTGCTCAGAGTTGCTCAGAGTCTTGCTCAGAGTCACTGCAGTTGGTTTAATCTGACCAGAGACAAGACAAACTACCAACAAAAGACTTGAGTGTAAAACAATGAACAAAACTTGTAGTTTAGGTCAGCTGCAAAAAAACTGCAAGCTGCAAACCGAAATCCATAAAAATGAGTGGTTGATATGTATACACAAAATAAAAAGATTTAACCTAGAGCGTGTTGCTCATATTTGTCAAATAATATGTGTCCTACACATTTGGTGATGGATCCACATCTGAATTTAATGGTTTTTAATTACCCTGCAAAATAGGAGAATGGACACAATGAGGAATAAAATGCAGTACTGCTAAATATGTTTGTTCTACGAGTTCTTCTTGGTTCTGGACAATGAGTTAAATCAAAGTATAAATCAATAACAATAAAAAACTTGTGAAGAAGTAACTTGTCATCTCTGACTTAAACTTATCTGAATGTCTGTGTGGTTCTGCTACAGCAGTTTCTTTTAGTCGTGCCTGTTGTTGCTCACAGACTGAAGCAAATGTTACATAAACTTACACAGGAATGTGCTCACCATTCTGTCTCACTTTGATGGGACCTGGGTTGTACAAGTAGAACGAGGGGTTTCATTTTTATGGTGTTTGGTTAATAATAAATAATAAATAAAAAATACCTGATGTTTATGAGTAATTCTGATTTATTCTTTTCACATTAAGTAAATTTTGCATTTGGACTTAACACCCAAAAAAGGACTGAAATTTTATGACCGGTGCTGAGTCATTGCATCATTTACTGCTTATTTTGGTAATGATAGCTCTGGGCAAGCGATAATCTGGCCTTTGAACAAAAGGTGGTTTAAAAAAAGCCAGATCGGTGTTAAAGGACTAAGTACATTTCTATCCTTTTTGTCTTCATAGGTTTCTGGTTATCCTGTTTTCTTCATGTGTATGCCCAGAGCAGGTCCTGGGACCAAATATTAGTATTTCTCATTACTATTGATATTTTCATTTACTCTTACTATCAGACATCTACATATTTGTCTAAATCCATACATTCATTTCTTTTTCTCTTCTGGTGGGGTTATTTAAAATCAAGGCAAAAGTATTTTGTCTTTGTTTTTTCAGCAACACAAACTAAATGTATTTTATTCAACAGACTTCATACATTGCACTGCTTTCCTAATTTCTACTAAACCTCCCACAAAATTAACAAAACACCCTTACCTGTGTTGCAGGTTCTCTCGAGTTTGTCAGAGTCTTCTCGGCTAAAAGGAAACCAGGAGGTGTTGTCATCTGCCCGTCGACAGTAGAACCAGTGGGGCTGCACTTCTTGGTACGGAGCTGGAACTGACTCCATGTCAAGTATCTCAAAGGAGGACGCGGAAGACGGAGAGGCCCCGTCAACCACAGGTGGCGGCTTAAGAAAAATGATTCCAGCGTAAAGTCAATAGGTTAAATCAATATTTCTTCATTGCATCAACAGAATCCCCAGAATTAAACCCTGAAGCTGCCTTCTTTAGAACGCCGCACTGCAGCTTCCAGAACTAGCAAGTCTGAGAAAAATCTGCCAGCCTAAAATCAACAATGAACAATCAGACCGAAAAAGGGTCAATTCTCCTCTTGTTTAGGAGCACAAAGTCCATATTATTCTTTTCTTCTCTACCAGCTGCCACAGATCTTTCCTAATTATAATGTAAACTTATATGTCCACCAGGTCAGATGCCAAAACAGTTTTAGAGGTAAAATATTTACTTGAATACTTCTAAAAGTGACATATGAGGCACAACAAACAAACTAGCAATTATATTTACAGTCTAGGGCGCAACAACATGAAAAGCATTGAGAAAACTTGCCCAAAATAAAAGCTAGTGGGTTTCTTTAGGTTAATTCCTGTGTTTGTGTGCACAGCTCAATGACTATGATTCACAGCAGTGACAGACTGTACATTTACTATGTTATGAAAACTTTTCCATTCTTTAACCATTTTATGAACTTTAATCTTGGTTTAAGATCAAAGCAACTTGTCATACAAAGACATCATCTCATCACTACCATAATATGTACATCCAGCATTTTAGTATCATTCTTTTACATATATGGTTCTCAGTTAGTGGACAAAATGATCAACTCATGACATCAGCTGATCATGACAAAGCCAACATACAGAAACAACTGACAATTTAAACATACATTCAAAACTATTATTAAATAATCTGTCATAAGAAGGATGACAATTATGACCATGTCTCTCATTCATTAGACTAAGTATTTGTAGCAGTTTCAGTAACAACTAAACGTACAATGCCATGTGCTCCTTAAGAACAAAATTACTTACAGAGAACAAAGCTCAAACATCAACAACATAAATTACATCATGTCAATGGTTTCTTTCAGTTTATCACCAAAGCCCACTCTATGCGTTAAGGCTGTCCTACATGCTTAGCTCTGGTGATGTTAAAATTATTATTTCTTATATTACTTGTTCATATTTTAAAGAGATGGGGCCTGTAGGTTTGCGTAATTACGCCTTTTTGACTTTGTTGACGAAGCTCATCTGTGCTCCCTTTATGGAATAATTGTAAAAAGTAAAATAATCATTTTATTACAGCCAGAGCTGTACAAAATCTGTCCTCTGATTGGATACAACACAAACATTTTGTTTAGACAGAATGTCTTACCCACACACAAAAGAAATTAACATTAGACTTTACCTGGTTCTCAGGTAGTTTCTCTGCAGACACAGTCTCAGTAGGGTTGTCCACGATGTTGTTGATGTCGGGGGAAGCCTGAGACAGACTCCCCTCCTTACTGGGAGTGGATGACATTAGCCCAGATCCAATCCCTCAGCTCTGACCTGGACGAAAGCAAACAGCTGATCTGCAAGGTCATCACATTACAATCACAACCGTGGTGATAAATGTTAATGAGCAGTAAACACTACACAATAAAAGGATGTCAGCACTTCGTAATCCCAGGAGCGCCTGATGAAAATGAACCAGCCATAGACCGCTACAATTTCACACTCTTGTGCAACACAGTGTCTTAGGGTACGTTTAAAAGGGAATTAGAAAGTAGAGAGTTATGACTTCAAGACATGTCATATATGGCATGTCGTGACATTGGCAAATTAACTTACAATTTCAACAAGTAAAACTGTCTTCTTGGTTCACAAATGATTTAGATGTGTAGCTGTGATCCTTTGGCAATCTCGTATCTCTTTTAACCATTTTCCCCTGAATTGCACACTCCAACTGTCTGACTGATTCAACATTCAGTAAAACTCAGTCTCAAAAAAGTCACTACACAGACATATAATGTAAGTTTCAGCTGAAAAAAACAATGACATTCTTGACAACGTGTTTACAGTGTTTATTTGTTAGGACACGGTAAACACGAAAGAGGCTAAAGGCGGTTGAATGAGTTAGGGCTGACAGATAAAGGCTGTCAGAAGCGGTTCTTTATTCTTCTATTGACTCGTCTTTCTAACAGCCGCTCTTTAACTTACACTCACCTGTATCGTCACATCCGTGGCGAAGTTTCTAACGAGCATTTGTCTTCGTTGTTGTTTTGTTTTTTTAGCTTTCACTGTAGCTAGCTTTGCGTTAGCCACACGGACAGCTTCCTATCAAATGTCACAGTAGAGTGTCGTAGGGAAAACGATTATTGCATAACTTACGTAAGCAAATAAAAAGATACACTCACAACAAATAGAAGAGGCTACCATTTAACACACTGGTTTTCATTTGTCATACCCGATATGCAGGCTTCTCGCGAAATGGAGGTAAGGACGGTGTCCGTTAGCATCCAGATATAAGATTGACTAGATAAATGTTTAGTAAATATCTTATATTTTCTATTCATTGCGACACAGAGTGAATAGCGGTTGCATTGCAAAAAACATCCCTGGATAAATGCAATTGAAATAAACTTTATATAAATACGGATTATAAAAGGCGTATAAAACGAGGAGCATGGAACGCAACACGACACTCCACAACATCACCAGTCCAACGCCCCCTGTTACGTCATTATTTTGTTCTATAAGCTGCTGCCAAAAAAAGACACTAAATATCCATTTGACTAAAGTAAAGTTATCAGCACAGGATAGTAACACGATAAATAAACTAACTAAAAATGCAAAATAATAATTTAAATAATCTCACGTTATTGGCTTCACATTAAATCACTGAACTACAGTATGTGTATGTTATAATTCAATGATAACAAGAATCATAACAATGTTGTGAAGACGCACCCTAAAGAAAGATATTGTGTGGTCAGATGAGACCAATGTGTTTACTGTGTCATTTGTGTGTGTTAATGCTATATACTTAAAAATAAATAATAATAAAGAAATAATAATAAAGAAAAGTTTATACACAGAGGGGAAACTTATAGCAGGCGACCTTATCCTTATTGTTGAGTATTTAACTTACAAACATCAGTATTTGGTAATAACTTTGTGGCCTCCACCTACTCGGCCTAACCCATAAACGTCAGTGCTTAGTTTAGACAGCAGTATTCCCAGGTATGTGAGAAATGTGAACCTACTGGATGTAGGCCTCACAACAATCAGAGGACAATCCCATCACAAGGCACATACACGCCCTTTTCACCTACATTTGACTTCTACCCTGATTGATTGACATGCAGTTGAAAATTGGTGAGCATGCCCTTTGCATCTATGCGCATCTGTGTAAATAAAGATGTTAACGATGCAACATGATTACAAGAATTTGACATGTGCTTCTTGATGAGTATGTAGATGTGTATTTTTCATTCCATTAAATCTCTATTTTGTATTTATTATTAGATCTTAGCAATAAAAAACAAAAAGATCCAATAAAACATTCAGTGTTTAAGGCTATTTATTAGTTTAATAGCTGCCAACACCTTCATGAATGTCCTCTTCATTACTGAATATTGTCGTGATCTTTAATAAAAACAAACATTTAATTATGTGACATTTAAGTTAGAGACTCATTGTTTAAGTCCAGGTCTAAGTCCAAGTCACCCAAATGCTTTTGATTGAGTTAATTTCCCACAGAAGGAAAATAGAGTACTCAATTTCTTGTCAAGTCACCTGGTCTTCAAGTTATATTTCCATAATCCTGAGCAGAGATGTGCTGTTTGAATTGGTGAGGGCTTGGATGGGCAAAATTTTAGTTCATTATTTTAATGTTTTTTTTTTCTGTTTATCTATAAAACATTTTAAGTTCATTAAGTCCATTCAGTTAGTCAAGACTATTGCTGTTTAACATAATAATTTACATTTTTACACCCAAATCTAGGAAAACTATCAGCATTGGGCGTGAACAAAAGTATTTTGTAAATAGTTCATCAACACTTTGGTGGGACATGTCCCAAGTGTTTATTCTAAAATCTACACCCATGAAGGAGACATCAGGGTTCGTTGACCTTATAGTACAGCAACACTTTGTGTTTATAAAAGAAGAAAACACCTTTTATATGTCCTTATTGGTATTGTAAGGTATGAGTACACTTTCTTATCCAAGATTATTTTGTAATCAGTTTGGATATTTCTTTACCAGAGATCAGGACAGATAGATTCCTATGATCTCTACTATGAGTTTAATTTTAACATTTCTTTTTAAATAATTCAGTTTGTTTATTCTGTAAATTAAATAATTCAAGTGATGATCTGAATTATCTGCAGTTTTTTTTTTCTTTTGTATAAAAGCACTTGAAAACAATTATATTTTCTTAACAAACCAGTTTTAGACAAGGGGCAATTGTCTAACTTTGCTCAGACCACAACCAAAACAGAGTCTGCCTGCTTAATTTTTAACTTTCTTTCATGGCTTTATAGAGTGGGGTAGGGTGGGAGACAAGGGGGAGGAGGAGCAAAACATGTCATGGGAAGGAAGAATAAGTAGAGCTACAAGTTACGCTTGAGACACACCCAGTCCAACAAAGTGGGAGAGACATGCAGAGAGTAATGAGACTGTGTGGAGCAATAAGAGGGTGTGGTTTTTTACGCAGGGAGAGCAGATAAGCTGAGTTTGCCTTGTGAAGAGGGGCAGGAGTTCTAATCCTGAACAGGCATAGCCACTTCACTTTCACTCTGCTGGGATCACAAACAATCCAGCTGCTGGTTCCTGCTCACCCTGTCTTACGCTTCTCTTGTGTAAACGTTGAAGTGAAAATTACTAAGAAGGGAAGAAAAACCTATAGAAGACAGAAGTGGAAAAGTTAACAAGTACAACTCGCAGCCATGAAGGACAAAATGAGGAGAGGCGGGGGAAGGAATCCGGCCAAAAGTGGTAAGAAATCTTCTTTTCTTCTTTACTCCCTCTCTGCCTCTCTTCCTTCCTTTACATCTGGTGCCTCCCTCACTGGAGAATGTGGGGAGGGTGGGATATTTAGCACAGTACTGCTGCTCTGAGCTTGGCTTCTGCTGCTCTGTCACACCACATTTTCTCTCCACATTTTCTGCTCAGCACTTTATACTTTTACTTTTTCAGTTCATTTCCTCGCAGTCAGTGCTACAATCAAAATGCTATTATAAACGTCAAAAACATAACTTGATGAAAAAAAAAATCTATGTTTAACCAGGCCACGCTGCCTGTTACAGCTGCTTCAGATTGTCTCACAGTACACATCTCCAAATTGTTAATTCTTTAAACAGTCTTTTATCATTTACCTCCCTTTATTGAGGCTCATTTGATTTGATTACTGTGGTGAAATGTTTAACAGCCAACCTGATGTAAATCACTAGATACAGTGGGGTGATTCACTCTTTACACCAGTTCTAAGAAACTAATCTGAATGCACCAGGCTCCCTGATGATAAAACGACAACTGTATTCCGCTTTGAAAAGGAATTCTGTCTGATTCTTCTGCGCATGCCAACTTCAGAAATCAGTTCCAAAAATGATTGGCAGGAGTAAAAAAGTACTCTGAAGTAGTAGGGCAGTAGCCTGTGTGGAGAAAAGGATGTACTCCAAGCTTGGAGGAGGGGCCCTAGTTCAGCCAATCAGAAACAAAGAAGGTGCTTTCTGGGTGTTTTCCAGTGGTAAAGTGGTCCCAGATTGACAGCAAGAGCAGGGGATTTACTGGAGGGTGAACTATAACCCCAAAAAGACCAGTGCAAAATGAATTTTCCTATGTTCATGTGGTGCATGAATGTATGCATCCTTCCACTCATGCCGGGAGCTGCTGATACACCCACCTGCCGAGCCATATGTTTGTTAGTTTGTGAGTTGTACAATTCTGCTGTCTAAACATACCAGGTACTGGGTGTGGTTGTCCCTTCACCCTAAGATGACATAGGGGCCAATGGGCAAATTCAACAGGTTCAGTCACACTGCAGGTTGAGGAACACGTTGGGTCCTGCTCTCCTGCTGTTCCTGCAAAGTCTGTTCAAAGAGGGACACACCCCACTTTCTGTTTCTTCTACATGAACTCCCTGTTAGCCTCAGGCTCTTTCTCTCACACAAGGACATACAATTTCTAATTGGATGAGTGACAGATCTTAGTCTGATAAGTCTTGATCATTAGTTCACAGTTTGTATACGTTTTTTATAAGAGCTTTAGCTTTTTGCTCTGTAACAAAGAGCTTCTCCTGCAGGAAAGACGAGAAAAGCAGCTGACTTGTCTATTTTTGGGAACGTGAGATTATGCCTACTTACTTTTATCCCTCTAATTTCCTCTTCGAATAGATATAATGAGCAGGGCTGGGGAAAAGAATGTTGTTGGAATAAAGCAAGAAGACGACACATCATTTGCAGTGAAGATTCAAGGAGCAGGAGTTGAGCCTTTTGAGCTGCAGGTAAAAGAACAAAAATTCAGAAAGCAAAGTATTACTTTTTAATGTTTCTTGTGTTTCAGTGACTTCCATTGTTATGTAGCTTCCTAAATTTTCTTGCAACAGTTTACAGATGTGCTATTTTCTTTCTTTCTTTTTTTGTGTGGTGTAGGTACATGGATTTTGGCTTGTACAAGACACTCTTATGAACCTGCTTTCGAAGAATGAGGTGTTCCCCCGTTCAAGCTTGTCTCTGTCGTTCGCGGGAAGTATTCTGGATCCCCTCGCAGAACTGCAAAACTTCAAGGGCTTAAAACAGGGTGCAGTCATTCGACTTGTGGAAGGTAGAGAAACGGAAACCTTATTATACTATATTAAGATTTAAGCCAAGGTATATTGTGAAATTATGTGCACAAATTCAGTTTGTTTAAAAGATTGGGATCTCTATATATCTGGATCTCTGATAGTTTAATCTATGTTATCATCTTATTCCTTCTTCCCAAACAAGTCTTTGAGGGCATAGTAAAAAAGTGACTCACCTCTGTTGAGTCATCCAAACACTTGTGTACGGGCAGAGATTTATGATTGTAGATGTTAAAAGTGTACACAGGTAATGACTCAGTTCCTCACCTTATCCCTTTATGAGATAAATTTGTCAGTACTTAAAGAGCATACCACCACAGGCTTGTGGTAATTTCCTCACACTTCATGTTAACACATCACAATAACATTTCTTTAAAATCTAATTTCATTCTTTTTTGCATTTTTGTCTCAGAGCCATACACTTCCTGTTCTGCCAAAGTCCACCTGGCTCGTATCCTGGAGCTGCTGCTAGCATCTGGACCTCAGGATGCCCTCAGAGAAGGACGGTCACCCAGCCTTTTGGAAACACTCACACATGTGCCGACACCAGGTAAACACACACCAAAACACAAACACAAATTAGTCGATGCGTCGCAAGACAGCATCAAAAGCAGAACGGTATTGAGGAGGCAGGCTAGAGCTAGTCTGAAGTGTTTCACATGATTTATTTATCTTTCAACTGTTGGCTGCTCCATTTGTCAACAGACAGTCAAAGAAAACAAGCATGTTTACCTTTAATCAGGTGACGGGAGAAGATGGAGGAGAAGTGAGATGACATAAAATACATCCTCCATACAAGTTGATGTACTGATGAATGCATGATGGTTTTAGAATAGAATGATAAAGATGTGTGAACATTAAAATAATTGTTCACTGAAAACGTCCACT